CCACCCTTCAAGCCTGAACCATGGGCCTTCACGTTAGATGGGTTGGTGGAAAACACACCTTCCACAGGAAGGGACTGCTTGGAACGGGCACTCCATCATAGGTCACATCCACCTCATAGGGACCTTCCTCCTGGGGGATGAACTTCACAATGCTTTTATCCAAGCTGAGTCCTGGTTCCACTTTGCAGGGCACAGACTTGTTCAAAGGGCCTGTGAAGTTGCTAGCCACTTTGCATTGGCCTCCAGCCCCTTGGACTTGATGGTGAATTCCTGGTCTTCGCCTACTTCCAATTTGTCTCCAATGCCAGAGATCTTGATTTTGTTGAGGTCTAGTGTGGGAGCCACTCCCACGTTGAATAGGTGTCTCAATATGTGGTCTCCATATGTTACCTTCACCCTGATGTTACCTTGTTGCACAGGGGTGTACTTGTCAGTATAGGTGTTATCATGGTGATCTATTATTTCAGAATCTCCTAACTGCCTCTCCCTTGGATTTCCAACTTGGTCTTGCCAGCTGCCTTGGTGTTGACTGTGAAATAAGTTGGCTTGCCAATCGCTACACCAGTGTTTCTCAACCTGGGGCTCGCGAACGACTGCCAGAGGGATCGCCAAAGACTATCAGAAAACACAGTATTCTCTGTTGGTCATGGAGGTTCTGTGTGGAAAGTTTGGCCCAATTCTGTCATTGGTGGAATTAAGAATGCTCTTTGATTGTAGGTGAACTATAAATCCTATTAACTACCATTCCCAAATGTCAAGTTCTATTTTTCCCAAACCCCATCAGTGTTCACATTTGGGCACATTGAGGATTCATGTCAAGTTTGGTTCCAGATCTATCATTGTTTGAGTCCACACTGCTCTCTGGATGTAGGTGAACTACAACTCCAAAACTGAAGGTCAGTGCCCACCAAACCCTTTTAGTATTTTTTGTTGGTCATGGGAGTTCTGTATGCCAAGTTTGGTTCGGTTCCATCATTGGTGGAGTTCAGAATGCTCTTTCATGGTAGGTGAACTATACATTCCAGCAACTAAAACTCCCAAATGACAAAAATCAATCTCCCCCATCCCCACCAGTATTTAAATTTGGATATATTGGGTATTTGTGCCAAATTTGGTCCAGTGAATGAAAATACATCCTACATATCAGATATTTTACACTACGATTCATAACAGTAGCACAATTACAGTTCTGAAGTAGCAACGAAATAATGTTATGGTTGGCGGTCACCACAACAGGAGGAATTGTATTAAGGGGTTGTGGCATTAGGAAGGTTGAGAAACAGTGCTCCACATCATTCCTGTTGAGACCAGGTGACTTAGCAATACAATTAAACCAGAGCTGGATAATAATAAATTCTCTTCTACCTGCATTGCTTTAGCTGTGTGTGCCTGCTTAAAACAGGCATGGTAAACAGCAGCTGCTTTCCAAGAATTCCCTTCATAGCATGTGTCAAAAGGTTATGGCTGGCGGTCACCACAATATGAGGAACTGTGTTAAGGGGTTGCAGCATTGGGAAGGTTGAGAAACACTACTCCACACCATTCCTGTTGAGACCAGGTGACTCAGCAATACAATTAAACCTTAGCTGGATAAGAATATATTCTCTTCTACCTGCGTTGCTTTAGCTGTGTGTGCCTGCTTAAAACAGGCATGGTAAACAGCAGTGGCTTTCCAAGAATCCCCTTCATAGCATGTGTCAAAAGGTCATAGACTTGGAAGGGGTGCTTTGAATGCAATATTCCTGCTTCTTGGCAGGGGGTTGGACTGGATGGCCCATGAGGTCTCTTCCAACTCTATGATTCTAAAAGTCATCCAGTCCAGCCCCCATGTAAGGCACAATCCAGATTCCCGAATGTGGAATCAAGGTGAATTTGATGCACTTGGTGAGCATCCCTTTTGTTGCAAAATGCTAGAACCTGGAATTGCATATGCCATAGAAGTAATTGAGGTACAAAATAATAATCAATAAGGAGACTTTAAATCAGATACCAGGCCTTGAATTCCTTTGTTTTAAAATTAGTTTTAAATGTCATTTTTTAAAACCATGGGAATCCTATGATGCTTTCTGCAGAACCCCGGGGAACTCATCCTGGGAACGGCTGATGAAGAGAATGCGTCTTTGGAGACAAGTTTCCTTTTTTATGACTTAGGTAATAAGCAGTAATGTCAATGAATGATAAGAACACTTTGTGATGCTGGAGACGTTAAGCATCGTTACATAAATTCTCCGAAATGCGTCGTGTTGAGAAGGAAGCTGCTGAGTGTTTTGTGCGTGGAATGATGAATGATGAGCATTGTTTCAAAGGGGTTTTTTTTTTTTGCATTGGAAGTTGCATCACAGGACACACACGCATGCACACACGCCCTTCTCTGTGTGCGTTTGCATAAAACATGATCCAACGAAAACAAGCGGCAGCCAAGAAAGAATCTAGCACTCTTTGAACTGGGATTATTGTGGGTCCCTTTTTAAAATAGAAGCATTTTTTTCCGGGGCAAAGTGAACACAAATAAGAATGGATGCCTTCCCCAGCCATTAGCTATAGAGCACAAACATGTTCTCAAATGAAAACAAGGTGGGGAAAAGGGGCAAATTCAATGGGGAAGGGTATATTGTTAGGACACAGTTTACTCATAATATATTTGACATCTTGAGGTGGTATTGAACTGTGTATCCCAGCATTGCTAATGATGGGAGTTGTACTTGAACATCATCTGGAGCAGCGTTTCTCAACCTGTGGGTCGGGACCCCTGGGGGGGGGGGTCGTGAGGGGTGTCAGAGAGGTCGCCAAAGACCATCTGAAAACACAGTATTTGTGGGTTCTGTGTGGGAAGTTTGGTCCAATTCTATCATTGGTGGGGTTCAAAATGCTCTTTGATTGTAGATGAACTATAAATCCATGCAACTACAACTCCCAAATTTCAAGGTCTATTTCCCCCAAACTCTACCAGTGTTCACATTTGGGCATATTGAATATTTGTGCCAAGTTTGTTCCAGATCCATCATTGTTTGAGTCCACAGTGCTCTCTGGATGTAGGTGAACTACAACTCCAAACTCAAGGTCAATGCACACCAAACCCTTCTAGTAATTTCTGTTGGCTATGGGAGTTATGTGTGCCAGTTTTGGTATAAATTCCATCGTTGGTGGAGTTCAGAATGCTCTTTGATTGTAGGTGAACTATAAATCCCAGCAACTACAGCTCCCAAATGACAAGATCAATCCTTTCCCAACCAGGGCTTCCCAGTTCTTGGTGTCTATGCCATAATTTTTAAGGTTAGCTTTAAGCCCGGCTTTAAATCTCTTCCTGTCCACCAACATTACGTTTCCTGTTCTTGAGTTGAGAGTAGAGTAACAGATTTGGGAGATGGTGATCGTTGGGCATTTGGATAACATGTCATTCAATCCAGTGGAGTTGATGGTGGAGGATCATCACTCCAATTCTGGTGGTCGTTGCTTCTTCCAGCATGCGGACATTTGTCCACCTGTCACCTTCCCAAGAGATTTGCAGGCTTTTCCAGAAGCAACGGTGATGGAATCATTCCAGGAGTTGAGTGTGTCATCTGTAGTCGGTTCACTTTTTGCAGGCATAAAACAGGGTTGGGAGGACAATAGCTTTATCAACAAGGACCTTGGTATCCCTACGGATGTCCCAATCCTCAAACACTCTCTGCTTCATTCAGAAGAATGCTGTACTCGCAGAGCTCAGGCGGTGTTGTATTTCAGTGTTGATATTGATTTTTGTACAGAGATGGCTACCAAGCTACCATGCCCAGTGACAGAACAAAGGAAGGGAAGGAGGAAGGAAAGAGAGAAGGATGGAAGGAGAAAAGGGGAGAGAGGGTAGGGGGGAGGAAAGAGGGAAGGAAGGAAAGACAAAAGGGAAGGAAGGATGAAAGGATGGAAAAGAAGGATGGAAGGAAGGATAAAGGAAAGAAAGAAGGAAAGACAAAAGGGAAGGAAGGAAGGAAGGAAGGAAGGAAGGAAGGAAGAAAGGGAAAGAGAGAGAGGGAGGGAGGAAAGGGAAGGAAAGAGAGACAAAAGGGAAAGAAGAAAGTATGGATGAAGGGGTGGAAGTGAAGGAGAAAGAGGGAGGAAAGGGAGGGAGGGAGGAAAGAGAGAAGGAAGAAAGGGAAGGAAGGAAGGAAGGAAGGAAGGGGAAAGGGAGAGAGGGAAGGAAGGACAAAGGGGTGAAAGGGAAATGGTCCACGTTTTATGACGTTACACCATTAAGCTATATTTCTGGCCTTGTGGAGGGATTAGCTGGTGCACTTTGCTGAAAGACAAATTTGGTTCTCTCGATGTTCAGTGAGAGGCGGAATGCTTCTTTAATGCTTCTGCAAAGGAGTTTAGAGTGGCTTCTTCTGAATGCGCATAGACTACGTTTTCATTGGCATATTGGAGTTCTATAACAGATGTTGTAGTGACCTTGGTTTTCGCTTTCAATCTGCTGAGGTTGAATAGCTTGCCCGACAGATGATTTCCACTCTGGTGGGAAGCTTCCCATCAACAAGGTGCAGTATCATAGCAATGAAGATGTAACAATAATAATAATAATAATAATAATAATAATAATAATAATAATATTTTAATAGTTATAGCAACAACAACAGCAATATTTACATCAAAACAGCTGGGAATGGGAGCAAGTTGTTAGGGTTATGAATAATGTTTTTCTTGTTCGTGGTGCAAGTTACTGTCTTTAGAAGCAATATTCCTGCTTCTTGGCAGGGGGTTGGACTGGATGGCCCATGAGGTCTCTTCCAACTCTTTGATTCTATGATTCTATGATTTCGAGGGAGCATTTTAAGTATTATGCAATCCTCTTAACCATCCTAACTGTTCTTTGGGAGCAGGGAAGAAGGATGAATGAAAAGCATGAAAATGTAACAGGTTGTGCAACAAAAAGATAAATATTGCTGAAATATTGCTGATATTAATCATGTTGTTTCTCTCTCTTTCCCTTTTTTTTCTCTCCTTCCCCCAATTTTCGACGACTCCAGTCTGTGGGCCAAACATCGATCTCCGCAACAACATTGAGCAGCTCAAAGAACTGGAGGACTGTACGGTGGTGGAAGGGTACCTGCGCATCCTGTTGATCAACCAAGGTGAGGATTTCAGCAACATCCGCTTCCCGAAGTTGACCATGATCACAGACTACTTGCTGCTCTTCCGGGTGGCCGGCCTGGAGACCCTGAGCGACCTCTTCCCCAACCTCACCGTTATCCGGGGCCGGAACCTGTTCTACAACTATGCCTTGGTCATCTTCGAGATGACCAACCTCAAGGAGATTGGACTGTACAACTTGAGGAACATCACCCGAGGGGCCATCCGGATTGAGAAGAATTCGGACCTGTGTTACCTCTCGACCATCGACTGGTCCCTCATCTTGGATGCCGTCTCCAACAACTACATCGTGGGCAATAAGCCGGCAAAAGAGTGTGGAGATTTATGCCCGGGAACGGCGGAGCAGAACCCACTTTGTGAGAAGACATCGATCAACAACGAATACAGCTACCGCTGCTGGACTTCCAACCACTGCCAGAAAAGTAAGAGCCATGGGTTTTATTCTATCAATTTGTTGTTATAATCTTATCAGCATTACATATTTATTCTGTCCTTTCTGTAGTGTTGACTCAAAGCTTGAATTGTCTATGTTTGCCAACAAAGTTATGAGAGTCAACTACAGTGTCCATGTTGGCTAGGGATAACGTGGCTTGCAGTCCAGAACATTGGAAAGGCACTGGATTGAGGGAAGCTCATTTCAGTCTCTGACCGTAGAGATTGAAACGAGCTTGGGCACATCTACACCGATTACTTAATGTAGTGATTTGTATGTGGAGCTGATTGCACATCAAGCTCTGGAACTGGGAGGTGCGTAAACACTCCAGAGATGTCATTTCTGACCCAGTTATAGCATCTACATTATCCATGGATTCACTGCTATTACACATTTGGTGCTTTGTAAAAAATATAATTTCCCCAATGAGCATATGCGGATCTCTGGAGCACTTGTCTCTTTTGGTTGGTTTTGCCATGTGATGCGGTTTACACATATGTGCTCTGATGCGCACCAAAAGGCCCTATTTCGGAGTACTCGCCGATATTGCTTTATCCCACTTTAAGACCTCTGTGTTTGCATTGGTGTGTTTACCTCGGTGATTTCCATACCTTGTGTCGCGTCATGTTAGTGCGTTGGCTGCAGTGTGTAGGCGTGTCACGCGAACATAACAAAAAATAACAAAATTCTTGGAAATGTATTGTCGAAGGCTTTCATGGCTGGAATCACTGAGTTGTTGTAGGGTTTTTTGGGCTATATGTCCTTGTTCTAGAGGCATACTCTCCTGACGTTTCGCCTGCATCTATGGCAAGCATCCTCAGAGGTAGTGAGGTCTGTTGGAACTAGGAAAATGGGTTTATATATCTGTGGAATGACCAGGGTGGGACAAAGAACACTTGTCTGCTGGAGCTAGGTGCGAATGTTTCAACTGACCACCTTGATTAGCATTGATGGCCTGGCAGTGCCTGGGGCAATCTTTTGTTGAGAGGTGATTAGATGTCCCTGATTGTTTTACAAGGAACATGAAAGGCCACTTGGAGTGCCTCTGGTGTTGCCGCAAGGAGGTCCTCCATTGTGCATGTGGGAGGGCTCAGGTTGCATTGCAGCAGGTGGTCAGTGATTTGCTCTTCTTCACACTCGCATGTCGTGGATTCCACTTTGTGGCCCCATTTCTTAAGGTTGGCTCTGCATCTCATGGTGCCAGAGCGCAGTCTGTTCGGCGCCTTCCAAGTCGCCCAGTCCTCTGTGTGCCCAGGAGGGAGTCTCTCATTTGGTATCAGCCATTGGGTTTGAGCCTGCCACTTTTGGACTCTCGCTTGCTGGGGTGTTCCAGCGAGTGTCTCTGTAGATCTTAGAAAACTAAGTAGTTTTCCCTAACATAGGGTTGTTTTAATCTCCAGGTTGCCAGTAAAACTGAATTTCCATGTTGTATCTTTTGGAGCAAAGATTAATATAAGACGCAGCCTTATTTTCGTGGCAATGAGATATCACGGGAATTGTTTGTGCTGCACTCAGTGGTTTTCAAACAACCGGCACGACTGTGTACATAAGTGAACTGGTGGCAGAATTGCACTACTAGCCATTACTGTTTGCCGTCTTGTTATTTACGTCGTGCCAGGATTTGTTGTCCTCAGGTAAAGCAGAACACGTCATTAAACTGTGACTTTTTTGCAGGGGGGAGGCACGTAAGCAAACACAATTGCTTGGCAAGCATCACATCCATTTTCCGTGTTGTCATTCATGAGAACAGTGATAGAACAACACGCTTAAAGCGCAAACATTTTAGAGCAGTGAACCTTACTTGTTTTGTGATTCTTGCTACCATTAGTGAACACTGTTGTGGCTGAAAAGTACATTGATGTGCTGAGTTCGTAGAAGTCAGAGATTAGGTCCTGGGGGTTCTTTCTTCTTCCTTTAATGCAGGGGTCCTCAAACCTTTTAAACAGAGGGCCAGGTCACAGTCCCTCAAACTGTTGGAGGGCCGGAATATAATTTGAAAAAAAAAATGAATGAATGCCTACACACACTGCACATATCTTATTTGTAATGCAAAAACACTTAAAAACAATACAATAATTAAAAAGAAGAACAATTTTAACAAATATAAGCTTATTAGTATATCAATGGGAAGTGTGGGCTTGCTTTTGGCTGATGAGATAGGATTGTTGTTGTTGTTGTTGTGTGCTTTCAAGTCGTTTCAGACTTAGGTTGACCCTGAGCAACCTGCACATTTCATTATTGGAACCCCTCTCACTGTATATATAAATATATCTTGATCATGCTCGATCATGCTGTTTATGATGCCCACGGTAATAAAACTAGACTGGCAGAAGGAAAACTTGGCCCCCGAGAACCTTATTATGCTTGGAGGGGAACCCACTGCCCTTTTGGAAGGGAAAAGAAGGGAAGTATAAATGTTCAGTTGTTGAAAAGGGAGCTTCCTGTTTACTCCGCTGGACTGTTTGAGCAGAGGAGAAACAAGGGACGCAACAGGAGCCCGGCTGGCCGGAGGGGAGGGAAGAGAAGAGGATGGACAGAGGAAACAAATGCTTACTGTTTGAGGTGGCAATTCAATGGGGATTCCGTACACTCCCCTCCAGTGGTCCCACTGGGACATTTTCCAGGGTTTGTCAGGAGGTCCCAGCAACGGAAGAGAAACAGAGCATGGTCCCTCTCAAAGCATGCTGTGCAAAAGGCAGGAAGAAGTGGTCATAGCTAAGGGCAACCATGGTGCTCAGATATTGTAAATTCCCTAGAAAAGGAAGGAGAGGACACATTGATTTGCTGGGCTAAATGGACCTATGATTGTAAACATATACTACTTTCATTGCTCTGTTGGCATTGGTTATGGGTTGTGGACTGCTCTGGTTCATGTAGAGATAAAGAGAGAGAGAGATTTTGGAGGATTCAGTTGATATATTTACAGCAGCAGTCAAGGCAAGACAGGAAAGCTCCAACTTAAGTTTTGACCCTGTCCGTCCGTCCATCTAGGACTCTCTCTATCCAGCCATCTGTCCATTCATCCATGACCATACCCATCCATCGATCCATCCATGACCATTATGTATGTATGTATGTATCCATCCATCCATCCATCCATGATCTCTAACTACCTACATATCTACCAGTCCATCCATAATCTTTATCTATCTGTCTGTCTGTCTATCTATCCATGCATGACCATATCTATCTGTCTGTCTGTCCATTCATCCATCCACCCATCCATGATCTCTAACTATCTATCCATCCATCCACTCACCCATCAATCCATGACCATTATATATGTATCTCTCCATGATCTCTAACTACCTACATATCTACCAATCCATACATGATCTCTATCCATCTTTCTGTCTATCCATCCATGACCATATCTGTCCGTCCATCCATCCATCCATCCATCCATCCATGATCTCTTAACTATCTAGCCATCCATCCATCCATCATCTCTAACTAACTATCCATCCATCCATCCATGACCATTATGTATGTATGTATCCATCCATCCATGATCTCTAACTACCTACATATCTACCAATCCATCCATGATCTCTATCTATCTGTCCTTTTATCCATCCATGACCATATCTATCTGTCTGTCTGTTCATCCATCCATCCATCCACCCATGATCTTTAACTATCCATCCATCCACCCACCCATCCATGACCATTATGTATGTATTCCTCCATCTATCCATGCATCCAGAATCTAACTACCTACATATCTACCAATCCATCCATGATTTCTGTCTATCTGTCTGTTTATCCATCTATCTACTCATCCATCCATGATCTCTACCTGCCTACCTACCTATCTACCCATTCATCCATGATCTCTATTTTTCTGTCTGTCTGTCCATTCATCCATGATCTCTACCTGCCTACCTACCTATATATCCATCCATCCATCCATCCATCAATCGATGATCTCTATCTGCGCATCCATCTGTCCATCCATCCATAATCATCTATCTGTCCATTCATGACCTCTGTCTATCCACCCATTACCATCTCTCTTTCTCTCTCTTTCTTTATATATCTTTATGTTTATATACACATATGTGAGCAGTATAACTACATAAAACAACATTTAAATTTTAAGTTCTGTTGCTGTTCTATTCATGCCTTGTTATGGCTTTTGCATACACCTCTCATTTGACTTTTGTACACATAACCCCCTTGGGTAGGTAGGCATTTGATGAAATTCCAGCATGGCTGCTCTTCAGTGTTTCAAGTTGTAATTTTTCTTATTTCTGCTTCTAGCTGGTTTGCTGCAGCAAGAGGCAGGTTATTAACTGACCCTCTCTTTCCCCGCGACCTGTGTGGAGTTCTTTGGTCTTTGTGGCTGCCATCCAGGACAGGACATCGAGTGGGGTGTGTTGAATGCCTCTGTTTTGGGAACATGCCGTTCTTTTTGAGCAAGAGGGTTGGTTTAATTTTGCTGCAAACAAAACAATAAATAAAGGTGGTGGTGGTGTGGGGGGATTCCTTTTTCTTCCTTCAGAATAAGTCTCTTATGGAGACAATGTCCAAAGCGGATGGTGTTGGTAATGACTGCTCTGTGTGGCTTTATTCCCGCAATAATTGTGTTATGTTGCCGTTTGCCACCTCGGCCTCTTCCCCATTCCCTCCCCTCCCGCTGGCCTTGAGTACTTGCATTCAGAGTTGTTCCCACAGGCATTTGGGAGGTTGATCCTGCAATATTTACTCTTCACTTTCTTCTGGGGCTGCAGGGGAGATGCCAACAGTGTTCCGCTTACATCTCCTTTTTGGCAGCCGAACTGCAGAGCGATGTCGCAATTCCGGATTTCCGGAAAAAGTGAAGCCTTTTGGGCGCTTGCCAGCAGCGGCTAGGATGGCGGCGAAGAGCTGTTCCTTTTGTCCCCTCTTCCCCTCCTCCCTCACCCCTTTGTTGCCCCCCTCCCAAAAAAGAAAAACGAAAACAAAGAAATCGTAGGAAAGTTGGCAATGAGGTCTTCTTGAGGAAGG